ACCAGCCACTCCTTGGAAAGAAGGTTGGGCAATCTACTTCTGTAGTGATACTGCCTCAGAAACCCAAGGAGGGGTCGCTATGAGTCGGGTTCAACTCAATGGCAAATAAAAACAACAACACCTTCTAACTACTTGTGGTATGCATACATATGCATGTTATCTACACAATACATACCTGAAAGCTGCACTAACCAAGGGGCAGAGTTGGCAAATCCCACCTTCATTGCTAACTTTGTGGTAAGGATCAACACGAATCCAATTCCCACCTGGAGTTGGATCCAGTCTTCACCTCCCCACTTTTCTGTCCTTGTTGCCAACTGTCCAAGTGGCACTCTCTTTGTCTCCAACTTCAGGCACTCCAAGCTAGGTCAAATCATACAAGTTAAAATGACATAATCCTTCAGACTGCCAAATAGGAAGATGCCAGCCCCAGATTCCTCTCACTACCACTGTGGGTTCATTAATTCTCTGGAATGACAGAATTCACATAATATCTATGCTTACAAGAAGCCATGGTGGTACAATGGTTAAGCACTCAGTTGGTAACTGAAAGGTCAGAAATTTAAACCCCTCAATATCTTGAAGCGAAAAAAGACCTACCTATCTGCACCCATAAAGAATACAGCCTAGGAAACCCTATAGAGCATTTAGGGTTGCTGAGAGTCGGATGACTCCACAGCACAGAACAACAATAAAGTCTTATTCTTACTGCTACTGATTTATTATAATCAGAAAGTATATAAACAATGAGACACTTAGGACAAGGTTTGGAAGGATCTCCAGAGCAGGACTTCCATTTTCTCCTGGGGTATACCACCATCCCAAAAGCAGATGTTCTCTTCAGGAAGCAGCAGCTAGTTCTGTGTTTAGGGCATTTTATTTGCTTCATTGCATAATCATGGCTGGGGCCTTCTTGCATAGTCATGGTCAAATCAGTCATTGGCTATGCATGATTGATTGAATTATGCCCTACCTCCCTTCCTGAGGTTAACTGACCAGGTACACTCTTTGTAGCCACCACTAATTTGCACACATTTTCAAACATCATCTGGCAGTTTTAGATTACAATGACATCTCTATTGCTGTGGAAATTCTAAGAGTTATCTTTCAGAAACTAAAGACAAAGGCCAAATAGAGTTCTTTGTCTCACAAAGCTACTGATTTCTGATTATTAATTTGGCACCACAATACTTTTCTGAATTCTCATTGTAATTTTTCAGTTGATTTGCTTTGATTTTCCAGACGTACAATTATATAATCGTAAAATAGTGATGGTTTTACCCTTTCTTTCCAACTCTGATGACTTTAGGGTTTTTTGTTTTGTTTTTTTTCCTCCTGCTACATTGCATTCGTCTAGTACATTAAGTATACTGCTAAGTGATGCAGAATCTAGTTGGCATCTTTGTTGTGTGACTGATTTTGGTGGGTATAGCTCTCGTGTGTCTTTCGGGAACATGATAATAGCTTTCAGGCTGAGATATATTAATGTTAAGAAAGTCTTTTTTGAATCCTATGTTTTGTTTTTTGAAGAATCAAGAATAGTTGTTTAATTTTGACAAATGCTTTCTCAGTATCTGTGGAGATGATGTTATGAGACTTGTTTGTTAATAAATTAATGTTAATATGATGCATTATATTAAAAGTCCTCCTATTCTCTATTTCTGAATAAATCCTAATTTGTTGTTGTTTTTCTTGTTGTTATGTGCCATTGAGTCTGACCCGATTCATAGTGACCCCTCCTTGGGTTTCCAAGGCAGTATCACTACGAAAGTAGATTGCCCAACCTTTCTTCTGAGGAATGACTGGTGGCTTTGAACATGATAAATTATTCTTTTAAGGTTTTGCTAAATTGTTTATTAATACATAATTTGAGTATTTACATTACCATTCATAAGTGGGATTGACATGTAGTATTATTATTTGGTGCTGCTTTTACAATTTTGTTATAATATTTCTAATCATTAATTTCTGCTATTTCCTATTTCTTTACTTTCCCATGTCTTTCTTTTTCTAAAATTTTGGGTCAGTTATGTATTCAGTCATTGTCATTCCACTGTTTGTACAGATATAAGCATTTGAGAGTATGAATTTTTCTCTCAGTACTGCTTTAGCTGTATCCTATAGACTTTTATTTAATTTGTAAATCTTAATTTTTTTTCTTCCTTGAAAACTTGCAATTTGAGCTTGTATTTCTTCTTTCACAAAAGATTTACTTAAGATACTTACATTTCTCAGGTGGAATAATCTCTTAGGTTTTAAATTTCTGTTTTGCATTATTAGTTATTAGATAGTACAGTCAACAAGGAGCTCTGGTGGTATAGTGATTGAGTAATTTGGCTGCTAATGAATAGGTCAGTGGTTCAAACCCACCAGCTGCTCCACAGAAGAAAGAGGAAGCTGTCTGCTTCTGTAAAGATTTACAGCCTTAGAAACACAGTGGGGGTCACCATAAGTCAGAATCAACTCATTAGCAGTGAGTGTTTTTTTTTTTTTT